ATGTCAATGATCTAGATATTCAGTGTTAGTTTTGAACCAAAACAATCTAATTCTCTTTCTTTCTTCTTAATAAAAACTTCTAGTACTCCTTATGAAAGATATTATGTTCATCAGAAGAGAAGTGAAAGAGGGTCATATGCTAAATTTTTTTTATCTTCTTGTTTGGTTTTTCTTTAAATCAGAGAATTGGTTGTGAGTATCGACATAGTGAAATCGCCAAGCTTAATCCGAGAGACTGTTGGTACTAGTTTATTGGGAATTGTATTGATCCGACCTGTGGTTTTCGACGTCCTGTGAGCTCGTATTCTTTTTAATAAGCTCATGTTGATTATGAGACTGATATATCGTGAACGAATTTGATTTTTTTACATGTTTTGGAAATTGAGGAATGTGTTGCAAGTTTTAAAAGTTGGGAGACCTAACTGCAAGTATCTGAGAAGTTCAGTGACCATATTGCAAACATACTAACGACAGTGTAACGGCGTTAAACAACCGGTTACGTCAGAGACCATATTGCAAACGGACTAAATGTTGGAGGACTGTATTGTAAGTTTTAAAAGTTAAGGGACCTAAATGAAAGCTTTAAAAAAGTTCAGTGGACATTACTATTCTTTATCCTAAAAATAATTGGGCCCCATAATTTATATAAATCCATTTTTTATAAATATAGTATATTATAGAAATTTTGAGCCCTACGAAGGTGTCCCTCCTGCCTATGTCCAGATACGACCCTAATTACATAATCCATTACGTTTATTCTTGTTATTTTTAACCTTAAATTAAGTTATTCTACGGTAGAATCACCCTCCTATTATCAATTGAATCAATGATGTTGTGCATGAAACTCGTACGATATAATTAATAATAGGGTAACCTACTTTATTAGTCTCCGAATTTTTAGAATGTATATATTTTAGTCATCACACGTTTAAAACTTGCATTGAAGTCATTGAACTTTTGTTCCACTACTATTTCGATCATGATTCACTTTTAGAATGTATATATTTAAGCCCCTGAGCTACTATTACCATTAATGGAAACAATGTGTTATATCATTGATGAAAAATGAAAAAAAAATGTTATGACTTTGACGAAGATCAAACCAATGGTATTCAAGCAGGGATGCAACCTAACCACTAAGTCAAATTAGTGAGTTGTAACAGTGTTGATAAAAAATAATTAGATTATGATCCAGTTGAAATTAATATATAGTTATTTCACGAAAAATATATTAATCAAATCATAAAATATAAAATAAAATAAAATAATATATTTATGTAGTGATTAATATATTTTTATAAAATAAACAAATTTAATTTTAATTCTAATCTATTCTAAATATTTTTTTTGTAATATCATCACTGTTTTTTTAGTTTTGTCTGATGGTTAGGTGTTATATCCTTCTCAAGGTCTCTGATTTGATCCCATCAATATTATATGTATTTTTCTTAATTTTTCACCAATAAGATGATGACATATGTTATCATATTATTGGAGAAGAGTGATCAATGTTGCAAAATATAATTGTTGCAAAATGAGCGTTAACATTGATGAATAATATTAAATAAAATAACTAAATATAATGGTAACTATCTCTTGGTATTAACTATTGTTTTAGAAGTGAATTCTCTCCGATGTTTGTAATCGTCGCAACAGATAAATGACCCCTGAGATTAGCACGGCTCTCAAAATTTCGTAGATCTGAAAGATGAAATGGATTTTGATGATATTACCCTTTTCTCAAAACTCAAAACATCCCTCCAAATAGGTTTATAAAAACCAAAGAGAGTTTCAAAGCAAATGACATTTGCTCATGGGATATCTAAAATGAGAAGATATGTCCATTATTTATAAACTAAATACTGAGGGAAAAACTATCATTCAATCCAACAACATTAATATGCTATTTAAAATAGAATTAAATAGTAATAAAAATGCTTTAATACTCAACATTAACAACAACCAAAATAAAATCGAATTAAAAGTTTAACGACTCTAATCCAACAATATTATATACATATATATTTGTTAGGGTCTACTTACACCTAGTGATAAAATGTTTAGTTTTACACCCTTTTGAGATTGTTGGATGAATGAATATCAAATTTTGAGATTAACTCTTTATTTTTTATAGTGAATATCTTTTAATTTTCTATCGTTAAATCTCAACCTTTAATTTTCCCTCGTCCAACGATCCTAAAAAGGTGTAAAACTTTTTAGTTTTACATTATGTAATTAGATCGGATCCTATGTATATAATACATACAAAAGAGCAGCATGATTTTGTGCAAACATATATGGTTAATAAAATAAAACATATAGCTGGAAAACTAAACGACATGCTCAGACAGTTCAAGCATCCTTGATCAAGGCATAAAGCGATGAAACGAACAGGCCGAAGAAGGAATTGGGCAAAAACAGCAACAAAGAGGCCCGAAAAAGATGAAACAACTACTACGGTGGATCAATGCACCGCCTGTCAGCATCGACAACCAAAGTAGCCTCTCTCGGATCATCATCAACCTAGTAACGATCCTTCGAAACCCTTTTACCATCACAACACATTGCATGCGCGACCGAGTTACCATTCCGAGGCACAAATGTGAAACTGCATAACCAGAAGTGCAAGGTTAACGCTTTGGCATCACAAGTGAAGGGGCGGATAACTGAAAAGTCCTCAGAAGATCGAGAGCGAACCGCATTCCTTGAACCACTGTCAAAACCTCCACCTCAAAAGCACTGTGGATACTTTATTCAGGCAGTACCCAGAGCCCAGGATCATACCAGACCCAGACCGAGGATAAGCTTGTAGTAGAGAAGCTGACATCAACATTGAGTTTCATAGTGGGAGCAGCTGGAGGCAACCAACGTGAGTTTGAGTACATCGTGGGGTGTTGAAGTCGGTGGGAGAGGGCCTCAATCTCCATTACATGGCTACGGATGAAGGTAATCGTCTCCTCAACTCGTTGGTAAGTGTTCTCATATACCATTTAATTTCTTGAGTACCAAATGACCCATATAGAGATTGCTATTTCATTATATGTAATCAAAGTCACTCACATTTTGTGGCCATCGAATACCCAAATTCAACCGAACATTAGAAGTAAAATGGCAGTCTCTACTTACAGGCACGGCATGCTCAGGTTCCCGATGGCACCGGGGACAAAGGGAGCTGGTCACCACACACTTAATAGAAATATTAAGCATAGTTGGAATGAAATTCTAGCAAAACTTCCATAGGAGAATCCTTATTTTCGAGGGACACGGAAGACCCCAAATGTACTTATAGAAACCTGTATAAGACATTTGGATCTGAGGTTGAAGAAGAAGGCGATAGCCGCTCCTTACTGAGTAAATTCTCGATTGTTGTTTCTTCCATACTATAAGATCTTCCTATTGAAATTGAGAGAGGGGTGTGGAACAAATATTTTGGGTTATGATAGTGGGAAAAATAGCTTGAACGAGGAAGGCATTTCAGGTGCGAGTTTGATGTAGGATTAGGTCGGACACTTCTCAATACCATTGCTTCGAAATGGAACTAAACTGTGTTGGGGAAATTGTGGCAACCAAAAAGCATTCCACGGTGAAATGGATAAGCCATTTCACACCTTCCAGCAGCAACCCTTTTACAAAAGACCCCTCGAACACCACACATTTCTCCAGATGAGAGAAGGGTTAATCAAACATTATAAATATTTTTGATATTATACCTTAAATAAGCTCAAAACGTATGTTCAAACATGTTAAAATTCATTTTCTCTTATATGTTACCACAATAATAATATCAATCAAGTTACGATTATATCGACTCTACCAACTAAACAGTTGGAGTATTAACAAATATCGACTAAAATCAATATAAAATTTAAGGGCAAATTACATAAATGATCCCTAATTATATGATATTACTTTATATTAAAAGTTACAAAATAATCTTTCGACTATTAGGAGTTACTTTATTGAGTCCCTTGACTATTGAAAGTTATAAAATGGTCACTCGATTATTCATTATGTTCCAAACTCGTCATTTTTCGTTAAGAATTTGACGACAATTTGAGTTGTATGTTAACCTGCTGACTGAGATATGATAAAATATAATCTCATTATCTCAAACTACTAGCATATCCCAATTGGCATGTTAACGTCAAACTTAGCTGACTAATAATTTTTTAATGAAAAATGACGAGTTTGGAACATAATGAATGAATAGTCAAATGATCATTTTGTAACTTTTAATAGTCGAGGGACTCGATAAAGCAACTCCATATAATTGAGGGACTATTTTATAACTTTTAATAGTTAAGAGACTCGATAAAGTAATATCTTATAGTCAGGGACCATCTATGTATTTTGCCCAAAACTTAATTACTTCAAAATTGATGGTACAATTTAACAAAATTGTCAATTTGGCAAGCGGACTTCACCACCTGCAACTAACACGTCTACTTGCTTGATACCTAAAATCACCATCGCACACTTACCCCGTATTTGTATCGTTTTCACACAGCTGCCAGTTGCCACAATAAGAACAAACAACATCCTTGTACTTGGTCCCGTGCCTTCATTGTCATGTCCATGTCTTCGATGTTAACATTCTCAACGACCCATCAAACATATGATTTTATCAAATCCTATCATCCCAATTACCAGATCATGTAACATTCTAAACTAATTTCAAATGATTATCAAAGATAAAATCGACCGTTTTCCCAAGTGAAAGTAATGGTATTCGTCTTCTCCATTTTATGAAGAAAAAATGGCGAGAAGTGGATAAGAGAAAGACATAGCATGGATCTTCTTTACCCCATGTTCATATAAATGAAAGTCAATAATTATGTTCACTGCAGGACCCCATATGGACATTTACATTTGTACAAAAGAGTGAAAATGAGATTTCAAGCAAAACTCCATTAAAGATCTTGAAGCTCTCCTCCCAAGATATTTTATAATCAGAAAGTATAATAGCTACAAGAGAAAAGAAAAATCCTCTAATGAGAGTTGGCAGTGTCAGTTGCTAGCTCAAATGGGTATAATTATAACTAAATATTATACAATTAGCAAAGTAAATTGACAGACTTTGATTTAAAGGAAGCGAGGGGGAGGTTGTAATATTTTTGTAGTGGCAGTGGCGGTGGTTAATGATCAAAGAGCTCTCTTTTTAATGCAGGACCTTTGCCTTTCGATTCCCTCTTCTTCAAAAATAGACAAATGCCCATTTCTTTTCTCTCTCACTCTAAATCTAGATTCTGAAGTTATAAAAGTCTCGCCTTTATTACTTTTTCTTCTCTGGTTCTTTTTTGACTGTTTTGTTGCAGAGTTGCTCTGTTACTGAGCAGGAAGAAAAGGGAAAAGGGCTTGCTTAAATTCATTAAAAACATTAACTTTTGAGTGGGTTGGAGTTTTTTGAAGAAGAAGAAGGAGAAAAGGGTATCAAAAGAGAGAGCAGAGAGAGTACCAAAAAAAGTAAGCACAGAGTTCCCCTCTCTCTCTCTCTCTCTCTCTCTTTTCTGGGTTTTTTTCTGCTAAAAACTCTTGACTAGGGTTTTGAATTTATTGTACTGAAACCATTGTTTTTTCCTCCTAGTTTAACTGATTGCTTCTACTAGATTTAATTTCTCTTTTCTTACAGATCTTCTTTGAACCTCCTTTTTCTCTTCTGTTCCCTTTTTTGTCTCCAGTAAAGCTTTCTTTTCTTTTGCTTTGTGCAAATTTGGGTGCTCCCAGTTGTTGCTTTGGAAATTGTCTGTTTCAGCTTGCGGGGATCTTTGCTACATGATTTCACTTCTGGTTTTGGAGGTTCATTAATTGAAGTGGGGTTCTCTTCTAGAATTGTTCTGAGTAGTTTCTGTGGCTTTCTTTTGGGGTGGGTGAATTTCAGCTTTTCTAGGATTATGCCTTCTTTGTATTGCAAGTTTTTTCAGTCCCCTTTTGGACTTAGCTTGAAGCTTGCTGTTAATGTGTTTTGAGATAATGTCAAAGGCTTAGATCATTTTCCCATGTGATTTGGTTATTGTTGTTCTTTCCTACCGGTCTCTTTTATGACGTTGGATCTTTATTTGATCATCTTATAGCATTTAAGGCTATATTTAGGTATTGGTCAAATTTTTAAGGTTTAGTTTCTTTTCATCAGCCTAACTTTTAACTGTTGTTCGCTAGGTGTTAAACATAATTGTGGAGGAAGGCGTAGACCGAGTTTTCTTCTGCTACTCTTGTTGAAAAAGGGATGGATATAGGTGAAAAGGATAAATCTGAGCTAGAAAACAGGAATGAGAATAGCATAAACTACGAAACACCTGTTTTGCCATCGGATTGGCAGTTTGGTGGTGCCAATCTCACAAGTTCTGGTACGAGTGTAGTTCCTTGTAGTAATCCTTTGGCTATTGGTTCGTCTTGTGCCTCTGCTTCGATGGCAGACTCGTTTGATTCTAACCTTTGGGAGCATCCGTCTAATTCTCAGAACTTGGGATTTTGTGGCATCAACGTGCAAAATGGTGCAATCTCTTCAAATGCAATGGACACTGGGAAAGGTACTCTTACCTCTTTGAGAGGTAGCATTGATAGAACATTTGATATGGGCTGGAATGCTGCAAGTTCAGCATTGAAAGGGCGCTTTTTTTTACCGAATACGACTGGGATTCTACCTCAGAGTCTATCACAGTTTCCGGTTGATTCGACTTTCATTGAGGGTGCTGTGAGGTTCTCGAGCTTTAATGAGGGAAGTTTTAGTGATATGGTGAGCCCTTTTGGTATGCCTGAGTCTACGGCTCTGTATTCTAGAGGAATGGGATTGATGCCAGGACCTGAAGATATGTTCGCAGTCAATGGGAGGAAATCTGTATCTGGTGTGGAATCTCAGAAGAGTAAGTTGAATGTTACTGAAGCTACTAGAGATGCTTGTTTGCAAGTTGAAAATAGGGCTAAAGAAAGCCCACTTGAGAATGAAAGGAAAAGTGAGAGTCTTGTGCGAGCTAAACAAGAGGCAAAACATGGAATTGGAGGCTCTGGTAATGAATCCGATGAGGCTGTGTTTAGTGGTCACGATGTAGGTCAAGAAGAACCATCTACATTCAATGGTACAGGTGGCGAACCTTCTGCCAAGGGTCTTAGTTTGAAGAAAAGAAAAAGGGGTTTACAGGTAAAAAAATGTTCACTAATTGTTTCCCTGATCTATTGTTCACTTTTGTTTATCGACCAAGTTTTGATTGCTAAGTTTACGGCAGGATGCTGAGGTTGATCAAGCTAAAGGAGGCCGGCCACCTACCGAGGCAGCTGGGGATGGTGCTGAAAATCAACAAAAGGGTGACCAGAAGCAAACTACATTTATCAATATGACTGCAGGGAAGCAAGGTTCTCCAGCTTCTCATCCGCCAAAAGAAGAATACATCCATGTGAGAGCCCGAAGAGGCCAGGCAACAAACAGCCACAGTCTTGCGGAAAGGGTAAATTTTATATGGAATACTCTCTGAAATTGCGGTATCAGATCATCCATCTTTGTTTGATTGGAGTTGATTGGTTATCACTTCAGGTAAGGAGAGAAAAGATCAGTGAAAGGATGAAGTTCCTTCAGGACCTTGTACCTGGTTGCAGCAAGGTGTGATAAACTTGGACCCTATAGCTTAGGGAGTACAACCATATTGATTTTTCAGCAGTATTCACAAAAGATATCGTAACTTATTGTGTGAGAGTTTATTGGTTCTTGCAGGTTACAGGCAAGGCAGTGATGCTAGATGAAATAATTAACTATGTGCAGTCACTTCAGCGGCAGGTTGAGGTATTGGAGCAGAATTTGCAACTTCTGTTTTTCAACCTTGTTGTGCTCTAGTAATCTAGTGTAATTGTTGATGATGGAATTGTAGATACTTCAATTTAATTAATTCGTGAATTTTGTTCTGGATTGATGCAAATATTGTTAAAACTTAGGAATTAATCAGTAGTATAATCATGTTCTTTCCTTTTGCAGTTTCTGTCAATGAAACTTGCTATGGTTAACCCCAGGCTGGATTTTAATATAGAAGGGCTTCTTGCAAAAGATGTAAGTTGATCAAGCATAGATATAGGAGTCCTTAATATCTATGCATGTCTCATCTAACCCGTTAAAAGCTGCTTTTTTGATGTGCAGCTTGTTCAATCGCGAACCTGCCCTTCTTCAACTCTGGGGTTTTCTCCGGATTTATCTGTCAATTATCCTTCATTGCGCCCATCTCAACCTGGACTTGTTCAAGCTGCTCTTCCTGTAATGGGGAATAATGATGATGTTATTCATAGATCTCTTACTTCTCATTTGACATCGATGATCGGAGGATTGAAGGAGCCCAATCAGGTTTCCCTTCATTTTATATAGGTCTTTTAACATCTTGTAAAGTGTTACTAATATGAAAAAAATTAGATTATTTACGTAACACCAAGATTCACAAGTACCACAAATTTTAAATTTCAATACATTGTGGTTCTAGCTATCAAATGCATGGGAGGATGAGCTCCACAATGTTGCTCAAATGAACTATGAAATCGGTGCTCCTTCCAACAGCCTTAATGTAAATGGTATTACCCCCTTTCATGAATGTCCTAACTCACAAATGTACTCTGATCTGATTAAAATTTATCTAATGCTTTTGCAGTCTCAACCGTTCGGTAATACAAAAGTAGGACTTTGATCCTTCTCTTCTATGACTCCATTCCAGGCAATTCATTATAACCCTACTACTAATATATATGGTAGCATACTTTACCACTCTTTCGAAGGTTAAAGTATAGACATACACTGTCACCACCATATATCTACCTTGCTCAAGGTTCTTTAACCGTATTGTCTGTCAAAGATCAAGTCAAAACATATTCCGTCACCATGTGGAGATGTGGAACTCCTTTTGAACGTGGGAATGTATTGGTGTCCTAGTCAGAGGTAAGGTGGATTAGAATGTATAGATTGATTATGGAAAGTTTTTATGATATAGGAGTTATATGTATTATCTAGCAGTATATTGGATGAATCTCCTGTAATTTACAGATGACTGGGAAGTATTAGATTGCATTTGTTCTTCAATCTTCTCATATCTTGCCTCACTTTTTTTTCTCAAGAAATGAAATTGTAGGGTGAGTGAATGTGGAATACAGATATATTCGATCTGAGTACTTATCTATTTGAAGTTATTCAGTAAAAGTGTCAAGTTGAAAGGAAACAAAGTACGAAACTGTTGTTCTATATGACCAAATTAGAAAAATGGGATTTATCAGAAGATTGATTCCTTTAATAAGCAGATTTTTTCCATGGAAATCTGTTGCATTTAAGCAGGGGACAAGAAATCATGGAAAGATGTATGGGAAAACAGTCTTATCCTTTACCCGTCTTGTCTTCATTTGAATTTCACATTGAATTTGACATACAAATCTGATACTCCCAAAGATATGAGATGTAAATTTATTGAATGATTCTATTTTATGACAATGAAGATGATAATAATAATAATGGCCCAATGGAATAACGTCCGACAGTCAAGGCCACCAACAATGAATATAATATAATTAATACAGGTAGTCTCCCGGTTCGGGTAGGAACTTTATTCTAGATGTTTGACCGTAGGGTAAAGCTGACATGTGGGAAATGCAGAATATTTTTTTTTTGGTAATTTATTACTCGCCAGTAAAAACTGTGATGCTGTATGATGAATCTGTAAGCGGATAATTAAGAACTATGAGAAGCCACATCACTTGTATTCTTGTGGTGATTTGCCTTCATCTTGCTGATGATTCTGCATCATGTTGAAAGAAAAAATTGGTTTTTGCAGTAATTGGATGATAATTAGCAATTACATGATTTGGAAGGACACGGTTCATAAAAATTACCTGTAATCTAGCACATATCTCTAGAACTTAAGGTACAGGAGCCCATCTCCAAAATTCTTCTCTATAAACTGGTAAGCAATTCCAGTTCCTCCTTGACCAACTATGAAAAGGCCACCCTTAATTTCACCTTCTCCTTTAAAATTCTGGTTTATTCCCAGAGCTTTTGCACGTTTAGAGTTTGCAATAGCCTGGGGATTGAACAAAAATCCTGATAGAAACTTGTCTTTAAGTAGTTTCCCACCTCCAAGAGCTTTGAAGAATCCTATTGTACGATCCAATGTCACAACACCGCCCTAATAGCGTGGCCTTTTGTCTTTTACCTGCATGGAAGGTCGATATCCGAGGAAGAAGGAAGTTCATTCGAGAAAATGTTTTGAATTAAAAGTATACAAATCACCTCTGATTCTATATGTTCATGAAGAACTGCAAACATTTGGATTGCCAGTGCATCAAATATTGGCTTTTTGGCATAGAGCTGGCGAGCTTCAGCTCTGCACATGACGCACATGTTATCATTGTTGCAACAAATGAAGACGGAAATGCCTATCAATTTCATCATTTAGGGGATAAAACATAGTTTCTTTGTAAGTAGTTTTAATACTTTACCCCGGTCGTCGAATGCATAGGAGAACAGCTGGCTTATCCCACCACAGTTCCGAAACTTTCATAGGCGGAGTCATGGATTTCACCAAGGGCTCCATCCCAATCTTATAAACAGGAGTTAATCTCTGAACCGATATGTTTTCAATAGCAGCATAAGGTGCCAGGCTGTCGACCACCGGAGGAGATTGTACACAACTGCAGACTCGAGCCTCGGCTGGTCTCGCAGCAACAACCCCTTTAAAGATGTATCCATCTTTAATCTTCAAACCAGCAAGTGACTCTTCCGGCGACCTACAGAGCTACTCCTGCCAAGGATTTTGCTATGGATTGAACCTTATGAATGGTGTTATTTCTAGTTGGTGTGCCCATGTCTTTCCTCGCGCCAAGGCCGTAAGATTTCAGTAGAGGATCTGTGCATGCATCAGTTCGATCTGTGAAACGTGCAATATGCCCCCATTTCATGCCAAATTGTGAAGATAGTTTCTTGGTGCTCAAGTTAAGGAGCTCCGGTAGTGATTTCCTCGAGGCCTCTAGCTGATCTCCATATTGAATCAAAGAACGATCATGAAGGTACTTTCTGATTTCCAGAGCATCCTGAAAGAACATAGAAACAAATCGGCTGTTATATGAATACCAAGTGAAAATTTTATATCATTTAGAGAGCTAGAAGGTTTATATTAACCTTTTGATATTGTGTCATGTTGATTGCATCATATCCTCTGAATTCATGATCTTTAAAGTCGGAACGTCATCCCAGCCTTCTAATAACTTTGGAAGCAATTCCTTGAGAACCCCATCATCAACAAAATCTTCTATTGAAAAAGACGCCATGATTTGTTGTAATGGCTATGGTGCTTATTAAATAAGGTCTTGATACACCATGTATAGAAGGTTTGATCTTATCTCGTTCTTTATTTTATTTGAGAGTTGCTTTAAGAAAATCTTTACTATAATCATCAGTCGAGAAATTAGATTAAACAAACAGAACAGAAACCCAAATCCATTCGGCAGCTTTGGTTGTCAATTGCGACTAAAAGATTACTAAAATATGCTTGTCTTCTACATATTCATCGGTTGCTAGCAGACAATAGCTAAAGGTTATCTGTTAAAGTCGGAACATTGCTTGGAAATGGTTAAAAGATGCTGATGGAGATCGAAAGGGAAACATAAATCGACTCCAAAAAATAAAAGATCACAAAACTTCAACTAAATGCTACAAAACCTCGCGTATAAGTAACACTTCCATCCAATCCACCATAGGGACAGCCCGAATTCATTATGACTCATCTCCTTAACTTTCCCAACCCAACCCACAATTTTTTCTTTTCATCTTGGATTTTCTTTGTCAAAAGTTCTATTTAAATTTTACACGACATTTTTAATCTTGCCAAGGATCACTCTCCGTCCTTACTTCCGATGGTTCAATAACTTGGTTCTCTGAGCCTTCTTCAGTTGCACTCACATCGGTTTCAACAGCACTCACTTCTGATGCTTTGACTTCATCCTTGTCCTCTGATCTACCCCATCTTCCTCCGAGTGCCATTGCCATCATCTCGTATATCTTGCTACCCAACTCAGCAGGGCTGTCAGGCTGCATGATGAAGACCGTAAGAAAAATGTTACTTAAATGTCTGCAAAAATGTTCAAAAAAAATGATCCAGTCAACCTACAGAAAAACCACTGGAGATCAATGCTGTATCATATAATAAGTCAACAGCTCTCTTGGCATCACTGCTTTCGGGTGCATTCTTGCATGCAGCCTGCAAGGAAAATAAACCTCGTAGCCGTCAGAAGAAACAAAACATAAGGGCAACAAGTCTTGGTATATCAACATTTCTGTAATAGTAGACCTCTAACAATCAACAGTTAGATCACCACTACAGCTTAAACAACGTACAGCTGCTATTTCTAATCAGGAGCATGATCTCATTAGTGCAACTACTACTACAGTTCATATTGGTTCTACATAGTAATTATCTGAAAAAATAGGGTTAAGTATAATGCTTCCATTCTTTGTGCTTTCTTATGGTCTCAATGATAAGTATCAACTGTTTTATCACATTGAAAGATAAATATAGTTAAAAGAATGCTACCCTATAATATCTTCAATCAAGTTGAACTAAAATGATCTTACATTCAAGTCTTTAATAATAGGATGATCTGGATTAATCTCCAGGATCCTCCTTCCCCTCATGAACTCCAAACTTGCTGTATCTCCAAGCGCTTGTGCTTTCATCAATCTTCATAATGAATCGAAAATATTAGTCAAGGAATGTTAATGTATGTTTCTAACTCATGGAGAGAAATAAATAAAGCCTCACCTTTCCATGTTAGCTGACCATCCAAACTTGCCAGAAACAAGCACACAAGGTGATGAACTTAGTCGCTTTGAAATTTGGACTTTGGCCACCTTGTCCCCCAGTTGTTGCTTTATCCAATCACAGAGAAGATTGAATTCTTGTTTGGTTTCCCTCTCGTTTACCTCATCTTCATCACCTGGTAATTGGTATAACAACAAATTCCATCAGATGCGCACCAGCCATCTGATGAAGAGCAAGGCTGCCAAAGAAAGATGCCCCTCCCCCTCCAACCAAAAAGTACATAATTTAAAAAAGAATACGACACAATAAATACTAACCCAGCTCCAAGTCTTCCTTGCTAATATCAACAAATTTCTTCTCTTTGTAGGTCTGCAGGTTTTGGATGGCAACTTCATCTATTGGCTCAATTAAATATAGAACCTAAAACAAAATGCTATATCAGTTACTATAATGGGACAAGAAAAAACGCGCTAGTAATAACAAGAATAAATTATTGGATTTAACAGTTGTACTTTCGTTTTTACAGTCTTCTATTGTTCGTATGTTTACTGCTAAGAAGTTTGTTATACTGTATGTAGACTTGCCGATTTTAGCTGGAGAATAAATTGATTCATCCAAAATAATATGGAAGGAATAAAAGAATCTCTGCCATCCTATCTACTATATCAAGTAGCCAACATTTAACTAATTTCTATTCAGGTAATTCAATAAACTATATAACAATTTTAGCCCGAAAATTGGAAATACTCCAAATGTCATGGAGCAAACTATAGACATGAAATCTTGGATTATTTTGACACTTGAAAATCCAATGCCAAATCGACATACACACCTCAATGTCTTTTTGAACCAATTTCTCCAAAAATGGAGCAGTCTTGGCACTTTTCAAGCTGTCAGTTGCCAAGTAATAAATAGCCTTTTGATTCTCTCCCATATTTTCAACATACTCATCCAAACTTGTCAATTCCTCCTCGTTTTTTGATGTGTAAAACCGAAGTAATGGTGTTATACGCTTGTGATTACCAGTGTCTTCAATGCATCCTAACTTTAGGAACCTGCCAAAGTTCTCCCAGAACTTTTTGTAATCCTGATATCAAGTTCACCATAGTCCATGTTAGTAGATAAAGTTCAGGTCAGCAATGGTAAAAAGAAATACCACTTGCATCAAACAACATACCTCTTTATTTTCACTTTCAGAAATTTCTTGAATCATGTCAAATGATTTCCTGACAAGCCTCTTTCTCATAATTCTCACCTGATACACAATAACCATAATAAATTCAATATGGAAACATAATAGTAAACGCTAAATAGTTAGCAGAGTCGGTCATAGACCCTAAACTGAGAGTAAAAAATTACATGAGGATTAACAGACACAGGAGTAAGTAAAATATGACTAAAGAAAAGTATACAAAATCAATCTTACAATACGGCTTTCTTGGAGGATCTCACGAGAAACATTAAGTGGAAGATCATCAGAGTCCACAACACCCTTCACGAAGCTCAAGTATCGTGGAAACTGAAAAATAACATTAAGTTCAAATACAAGTAAAAACTTGATAACACAAGGAAATGCTATATGTATCACAGTCATACAGAGTACACAATCCAGCCACCTTGAACAAGAGAACAAGGTAAAACAAATTAAACAATCTTTTTCCCTACACTTTGGTGAATATCCAGAATTTATACTTTGTTTATAGAAGAGAATATCTTTGTTTGTCGTACACAACTTGAATGTGGAAATACTTTTCCAGTTCAAAATATCAAAGAACCTTCTAATGAATTTATCGAAACATACAAGAAATGGATGGAGAACAGGATATCAAACCAAGCCAAAAAAAATTAGTTATAAAATTTCTTAATAATCCAAAATTTATCCAATAAAGGACCATGATATATCCCGACAAGTCATTCCTGCAAAAGCCAATATTGCAAAACAGCTATCAGGTGACCAGGTTAAAACTTACCAGCTCTCCATCAAAATCATCTGATATAAATACACGTTTCACATACAAGCGTATGTTCTTTGTTTTTGGATTTACTACGTCCTCATTGTTTAGAGGACCCATGCCGGGAATGTACAGAACACTCCTAAATTCCACCTCACCCTGCATGATATTCAAAGAAACTTCAATGACTAGTTACACAGGGAGTCAATTCATAAATTACAGTTGCATGCATACCTCAGTAGTGAAGTGAGTATATCCAAGTGGGTCCAAGAACTCATTGAAAGTCTTCTTGTAGAATTCATTGTACTCATCTTTTTCAACTTCCTTAGGATTGCGCATCTACAACAGACATACGGAAAATAAAGTGACATTCTGAATAAAAAGGAGCATCTTAAATTGTATATTAGGGGCAGAAAAAAGAAAAACTCACCCATATTGGTTTTGTTTCGTTTGCTAATTCCCAGTCCCAATACTTCTCAGTTTTAGTTGTCTTCTTCTTCTTCACATCCTATGAATAACACAAGCCAACAATAATACCATGTTTACCAAGAAGATTGTTACCTAATTGCTAGTAACAATTATATCAGAAAGCAATGGCAAGTCACCTCTGGCTTTACTTCTTCCCCTTCTTTTGGTGGCTCTTCCTCCTCTACCTGCTCAAAGATAAAAAAAAATAGTATAGAATGGTTGAAGAGATATTTTCGATGAGCTTAGAATGGAAGTGCTTATAACAAAACAGAGTGACTCTGTCATTGGATATGAGATCAGGACAAAAATTTCAAGAGAATAAACCTGGCAGTAACACCTTTAAAATAAACAAATCCTGTTAATTGTTTTATACATAATACAAAAATCAAACCAGATAAGAATCTTTAAACCATTTGAAACAACTTGGACCATCCATGAGGGACATAATCAGCAATGAGATGAGATGACGTGTCACAAGGGAGCAGAGCGGAAAGGACAAGTATTCATTTGATATCCGTAAATTGAATCCAAATGCCTAAAGCACGCATTGAGAAGGAATGAACTATATCCAAATTAGAACTTAAGCATGCACACTAACCTCAATTGTCCTTGATTTTTCTTGCCAAGTGTAGATTGGGAAAGAAACGAACTGGGAATAATTCTTCACCAAATTCTGAATTCTGGCAGGATCCGAGAATTCATACTTGTCATCCGGCTGCAAGACAACCATATTTTAGACATTTGGCACTTAGAATAATAGTCAATTTGAAGAACCAAGAGCTTCTAAGGCAGTTGTAACACTATGCACTACATTAAAACCTCAATTCTATTTACTACCTTCATTAATATTTAAACATACAAACGCAAATACATTCAAATAGGATGTAAAGTAGGAAAAATAATGAAAAGATAGAGTACCCTTAAATAAAGTGTAATCTGTGTGCCACGGACTAGAAGCTTTCCTGGATCATTTTCCTCCCTAATCACATAGGAGCTACTGTCTGCTACAGCTTCCCAAACATATTGCTTCTCCGACTTTGGGCTCTTTGTGGATACAGAAACCTTCCCAAGAAACAAATAAGCCAGCAACCCAATCACCACTTGCATGAAAATTATTGAACGAAAATCTTCATGCCGAAGCAGAAGATGATAATGTAAGTTATCAATTAAGCAGACAGCCTTCTACCTTATCAGCAACAAGAAAAGCAGAATAGAATCCAACACCAAATTGACCGATCAAACCATTATCTGCGCCGAGATCCTTATTTTCCTGCAAATATTAAGATTTTGAATAAGTAACCAGAAACATTTATTTTCTTTATTTTAAAAGAGAAGCATTTTAAATTACAAAAGATATTACCTTAAGAGCCTTAAGAAATTTAGATGTACCACTTTGAGCAATTGTTCCAAGACAGTCAATGAGTTCTTCTTTTGTCATTCCAATACCCGTATCTCTGGAAAAACATTGATTTCATTTATTTATTAAGTCCTATATATATATATATATATATATATATATTTTTCAGGAAGAGAAGTCATAAAAATCATACGTTATAGTGATAGTCCCGTTATCTGGGTCGGGTTTGATGCGAATCTCTAGTTCTCCAGCATCTCCAAGAAGAGAGGGCTCAGTCACGCTCAAGAATCTAAGTTTATCTAAAGCATCACTCGCATTACTGAAGTACCAAAATTGAAACTTTGTCAATTGCCTAATCTCTACGTTGAAACAATGAGCGAAAATCTATTAAGACAAACGTTTTGAACGAAAACCGAGTCTTCATTTATGCTCACCTCACAAGCTCTCTCAAAAACACCTCTTTATGGCTGTATAGACTGTGAACAATCAAATCCAATAAGCGACTAACCTGCAATCATTTGTGAACTTGTATTAATTTCAGAATAGAATATAGAGGATAAAACATTTTAAATATAAACAAGCATCTACCTTTAACCAACAACAGTTCATTCCAACAACAAATCCACTACATAAATCCATAAATATCCCACGAAGAAGAAAAAAGGAGCAAAACCCATTAAAAGCAAAGGAAACCCACCTCGGCTTGGTACTCAAATTTCTCCCCGGAGGTCTCTTCAGCCTCTTTCTCAGCCACAGCCGAAGCTTCACAACGGAAAGCTATCCGGTTGTTTCTCTTCTCAAGTTTCCACCTCAATCCAGTGGAAAGGAAGGCCTTGGTGAGGCCATTTGGAGGTAGAAAAGCGCTTCTGAGACTGAAGGCCTTGTTGGGGTCTGTTAAAGGGAGAGAGGCTAAAGATGGAGTAGCTAAACTTCTACTTAGGATTGAAGCCATGGAGAGGAAAATAAAATTTTGCTAACTAAAAACCCTACTGAATGGAGAGAAAGGGGGGGGGGGTTTAAGGGAGAGAGAGGAGGGTTCTAGAAATTGGGAAACAAGGAGCCAAAGTTTTGTTTTTGGAATTGTAAGGCTCAGATTCGGCCATTTCAGCCATTTAATACTACAATATTATCCTTCTATTATTTTCTTTCTTTCTTTCTTTCTGTAATTGTTAGAATTCAAATAATAATAAGGGTAAATTACAAATTTGGTAACTAACCTTTACTCTCTCTCCTATTTCACACATTGTACTTTAAATCTTTTCAAATTTTTCATAGAATTTAATACATTAGGTTTTTTATCACTCAGTCGTTTTCTCACTAACGACGTTATAAATGAGATTTTATGTAGATGCAAAACGATATCATTTTAGTGAAAATTTTGTTCTTTTGAAATAGCATTGTTTCGACACCGTTAACTATTTAAAGATAGAGTACCAAAAAAACCCAATGTATTAAGTTCAATGAGAAAATTTTAAAATTCAGTGAGAAAAATAGGAAAGAGAGTAAAGTTTAGTAATAAAATTTGTAATTTATCCTCATAATAATAGTATGGAAGCATAGAAAAATGTTAATTTGTCATGCTATATAATTGAAAGACAAGAATGAACCGAGCCACCTCGATCTTAAAAAATTATTTTTATTCTTTGAGATCATGAGTTCGAGCACCAGAAATATCAGGGGTGGAAGCGTTCGATGTCAATGGGTAAATAACCGTCTCCCACTGTCAACCTTCGAAATAATAATAAAATTATTTTTTATATTACATAATAATAAACAATGTCACGTCATATAAAAATAATAATAAAATAATTTAGAGTGATAAAAAAATAGTAATTCAAAAATTCGGTGAGTAAATTAAAAAAACTGGAAGTATAATGAGTAAAATAAAAGAAAAAGTAAAATTCAATGACGAACGTTGTATTTTTGTCATTTCTTTAATATTAATATATATATAAAGACAAATATATATTTAGACGTTAAGTTTTAATTTATCTTAATTTTTATTATTAATCATAATTTACACTCTTTAAACTTGAATCCTAACTTCATTCCTACATTACATAAACTTGTTCATAAATATAAATTGACTGGACATGCATTGTCGAATTTAATTCTTTTGACGTAAAGTAATTTAATCTCTCAATGTTTGAATACTTTTTAACGATCATTTGATGATTACAAACTTCAAAATGCATAAAAACTACCATCTTCAATAATTTTCTTATTTCCAATTAAACCCGACAAAGAAATTCAACGACCAAATGATAAAATGAAAAATGAAACCATCTAATGAGGATGTTTCATGCATACGTACGAGAAATACCAACAACCAAAACATCCCAAAGTGGAGCGACTGATGAACTGAACACAAAATCTCTATCGACTCAAACCTCAGCTGCTGTCTGCTTCAAACAATCAACGTTGCACAATCCAACAGATCGTACCATATCTCCCAGTCTGCCAATACAACAAGTTCCAACAGATCATTGCAAAAAAAAAGAGCTTTTAGGGTTCATATATATATATGAATGTATGTATATCTAACCGGTCGAAACTATTTCTTGCTTTCTCCGAATGATCCGTGCTGTTCCTAGCTTTCATATGGCGATCGATGCTCCTCCTTGATTTCTCTCTTTTGTCAATGCTGGTTCTTGCTTTGTCTCTACTGTCTGTGCTTAGCCTGGATTTTTCTCTATGACCAAAACTTGGCCTACCCTTATCTTTATAGTCAGTGCTTGGACTGGATTGTTCCTCGTTTTGGTTGGAATTGTTCGGAGTTTGGTCGGATTGATCCTTGGGTTTCAGGTCCGATGTGTTGCAAGGACATTGAAGTTTCTCAATGGCTGATATGAACTTCCCAAGGTGGCTTAAGTACTCGGGGTAAAGCTCCAAATTACAATGGTTTCCCCCTTTGAGCCACAATGGCTCATACTTCTCTTTACATAGTTCCCAAAGTCGTTTCCCATGAGAAAAACTCACCACTTCATCTTCAGTTCCCTGCAAAACATTGTTAAATAATAACAAAAACTGATCAATTTGAAAACTTGGCATTGATTTCATTTCGACAATGAATCAGACTCACATGAATAACCAGAACAGGACAGTGAACTTGAGAGATCTTATCAATGTTCTGCAATAAAATAACAAAAGAGAAGAATTATTGTCGCAAGTTGAAACAGTAAATATTCTCAGCATAGTTCCAAGTTGGTGAATAGAGATTGAAGCCAACCAAAAAAAAAACCTTGTAAATGTCAAACCATAATGAACGCTTGACCGGATACATGACACGAAGACCGGACAAGATCGGACTGTGCAGAATTACAGCCCTCAAGTGAGGCAACCGGATGGCTAATTCTAAAGTAGGACCACTCCCAACTGATTGTCCATATAATATTGTGTCTTCCTGTTTTACTCCATACATCTCTCCCAAACATTTGTTAGCTGCTTCTATGTCTGCATATGTGTCCTGCTCACTAGGCTATATACGTATAGAATCATCAGAATAGTGAGTCTCCCAATCAATATAGATGTTAGAAAAACACAAAGAACATGGGGTTTTGTTGTTGTACTAGGAGAAGACTTTCACATGGTAATAGACAACATAAACTGACAAGATAAAAGGGTTTTATGTTCATATTTCATATGTCTAGTCGTTATCACTAGAGGTCCATGGTCGAGCATATAGTTTGAAGGGATATTTGAACCTTCATTGCCAAATGATTGTAAGTCTATCGAATAAAAAAAATGTTCATTCTGCTTGATTCTAAAATCCTGCATTGAAATGAAAGAGAAACAGATTATACCTTTCCAGTGGATTGTCCATATCCTGAGTAATCATATCTGCATCAAGCCATCAACACAAAAAAAAATCATATGATTCTCCTTGATTCTAAATTTGAAACCTTTTCCCTTCCATTTTCAGGGTTAATCTAAACGAAAAATAAATGAACATTTGATATACAATAGTAACTGACCCCAAAAGATTTACATTAAGGTGGACACTGAGCTCAGTGAAAATGTGATACATCTGACCAATATCAGCAGCATTTCCATGAGAATACAGCACTGTCAATGAAGCTGATGGGTTCTTGACATACATAGCCACAATCTCATTCCCTCTCTTGGTACGCAGCTTAAATATATCCACATTATCTCTCTGGTAATTAGCATCTGAGAACTTCATTTTCCCACTAGCTTCCTCCACGATTATGTTGTAGGAAGGTGGGTTCGGCGGGAAAAATGCAAACTTTGCTGCCATGGATGATGTTGCAGTCCCCATTTTTTACCCAGAAGCATAAAAAGTATAGATTTTGATTGTGATCAAATGTTTTGTGTCACAGGTTGATAAATAATTGCATGGTACAAGTCTCTAAGGCTACATGCCATGAGTTTGACACCAGTTCTTGTCTAAAAGAACAGAAAAATGAGCTACAAGAAGCAAGTGAAGAAGATGAGATTCTTGGATTTGGTTGTTTTACTTTTATGTTTTGTTCTTGAGAAAATTTTGGCATGAAAATGGAGATTGTGAGAGGAAGCAAACATGGAAAGCACAAAGTAAGAGTGAGGAATTTCTCTTGTCGGTTATTAATTAAGAGTGATTTCCGGCTTCAATATGGTTACAAAGGCTAATAATGCAATCTTTATCTCCTAATCTTTTTATCAATTAGCAGTAAATTTTTAGATTATGCGGATAATTTGGGTCAAAAAGCATTTTTTTACTTGAAATTTGAAATGTAAATGTGCAATTATATGGTTCCTTGCTATGATACAGTGGGCCTAGCTGTTTAAATCAACAGCAGATGTGTTTCACGTTCCATCTTCCCTGTTTCCCTGGCTTTATTGGACATTAGGCTCAATTCTAAAATTCCCTGAATTAACTTCAATTGCAATCCATTTGAAGAAGAAGAAAAATGAAAGATTAGGTTAAATCCCAGGTTCTAATAAACCATATTTTTCTCCAGAAGCAATACTGCTAGAATCTAGGCTTTAGCCATTCCTCTTTACCAAAGCCTAAACATAGCCTTTCCATGCTAAGTCTAGGCCTTTATTAACGAGCACATGTTCATTCCTTCAAACTAAATAGATTCACTTCATGTTCATCCCATTGATCATTAGGGCAGGAAAAAGCATTTGGAATTTGAGGGATTTTAGAATTGTTTATCAACAGCAAAAGTAGAAGAATGATGAAGTGGTGGGGCTAATCACTAAAGATATATTAAAAAAAGGATTGGATGAGGTGTTTTGGAGATTGAGGAGATGAAACCTTCATGATTTTTTTTTTGATAAATTTAATTTTCTTCATTCAAAAAAATCTAACTATACAAGCCAATTACAACCAGGGGAAAGTAAATAATGTAGAACCTATAAACACCATAAGCAAAAGAAAAGAAAAGCTATACTAAATCTCATTATGTAGCAAGCACATAAGAAGGAAGAACAACCCTAGTATATCCCCCTCAATCTCAATCTGACAATATGCTTTATCTGCAGAACCATACACTCAATTCGACGAGGACTATTCGTATGTAATCTACCATTCCTCTCCTATCAAATATAATAAAGGTAATAGCACCAGGCTATCTGAATGATGGTCGTGTTGGAAATAAAACACTCACACAAACAACTTTTATTGAAACTCAAAGAAATATTACAAGAGCACTCTCACTCAAAAACAAGAACTACAACTCACTCTTATAGGACTTTGCTTCTTCACTCACTTAGAAGCTCTTAATTTTTCTTGATGCTTAAAACTAAAATGGGAAGGGGTATTTATACTACTCAAGAACAATCCTACACCACACAAATAAACTAATTTAAACCATTACAAATTCAACAAATATATAACTCTTACCTAACTAAATTGATGTAAGCAATGACATCATTACTTAAATGATGTAAGCAATGACATCTTTAATTAAATGGTGTAAGTAATGACATCAATTTAGTTTGGGTTTGGGTTTAGGCTCCCATAATGGATCAAGTTTATGATCCAACACCCCCCTTAAACTTGATCTCGTGACCCCTAGTAGGTTCCTTAATCTTAGGAAATCTTCGCTGGTCAGTGGCTTGATAAAAATATCAGCAACTTGATCTTGTGACTTCACGTATTCAACTTCCACATCTTTTCTTGCAACACACTCCCTTATATAGTGGTAGCGAATATCAATGTGCTTGCTTCGATCATGGAATACTGGATTCTTAGCTAAGGCAATGGTTGACTTGTTGTCGACACAAACCTTGGTAGGCTCTTCTTGTATCAAACATATCTCCTTCAATAGATTTCTAAGCCAAATTGCATGACAAACGCATGAGGTAGCAGCAACATATTCTGCTTCACAAGTGGACAATGTGACAATCGGTTGTTTCTTTGACATCCATGTGAACGCAATATCTCCCATGAAAAATACGAATCCAGTAGTGCTCCTTCGATTATCTATGTCTCCACCCCAATCACTGTCGCTATAACCAACAAGCTTGTAATCATTAGAAACTGAATAGAACAAGCCAAAGTCAATTGTACCTTTCAGATAGCGAAGAATTCTCTTTGCGGCTTTAAAATGGGTGGTTGTTGGAGATTCCATGTAGCGACTAACCAATCCAACTGCGTGAAGAATATCGGGTCTCGTGCAAGTTAGATAGCGTAGACTTCCTACCAAACTTTTGAATAATATTGGATCTACACTTTCTCCTTCTTCATGTTTGGTCATCTTGATCCTGTATTCTGCCGGTGTGCTTATTGGCTTACAGTTCTCCATCTTGAACTTCTTCAGTATCTCATTTGCATAGTTTTCCTGTGAAATGAAAATTCCATCATTTTGTTGCTTAACTTCAATGCCAAGGTAGTACGCCATGAGCCCCATGTCTGTCATCTCGAATTTTTTCATCATCACATAATTGAATTCATTAAACATGCTTGGGTTGCTTCCGGTGAAGATCAAATCGTCCACATAGAGACACACGATCAAAATATCTTCATCTTTGATCTTGATATATAGAGCATGCTCGTAGGGGCATTTTTTGAAGCCATTCTCTTGGAAGTACTTGTCGATTCGGCTATTCCATGCCTTTGGTGCTTGTTTTAACCCGTAAAGAGCCTTCTTCAACTTCAACACCTTGTCTTCGTGCCCTTTGACTTCATAGCCTGATGGTTGCTGAATGTAAACTTCCTATTCAATAACTCCATTTAGGAAGGCGGACTTTACATCCATCTGTTGTATCTTCCACTTGTTTGAGCTGCCAAAGAAATGATTAGTCTGATAGTCTCCAATCGAGCAACAGGAGCAAATACCTCATCATAGTCAATTCCAGCCTTTTGACTATAGCCTTTAGCAACTAGCCTCACCTTGTGCCTTTCAATCTCTCCTTTGGCGTTTTGCTTTATTTTGTAGACCCATTTGACACCTATCGCCTTATGTCCATTGGGAAGTGAGGTAAGTTCCCATGTGTCATTCTTCTCGATGGCCTTGATTTCTTCATCCATCGCATCTCTCCATTTATTTTCTTGTACCGCTTCTTGAAAGCTCACTGGTTCACAATCGGCAAACAGACAAAATAATGTAAGATTATCTTGTCGTTCAGTTACCTCATAGAGATCTCTAAGGCTTCTTGTGCGTTGCACAACTCTTTCACTTTGACTCCCACTTGACGATGACGAATGTGATGAGTCTCCTTGAGTGGTTGATGTTGGTGAAGTGGGTGGAGTTGCAAGCTCTTGTTGAGATTCATCTAGTTATTCCCTCATTGTCTACTCATCTTCTTCAAACTGAGGAAAGAAATTGAAGTCATCTGTATGAGAGTTAAAATCCCATTCTCCTTCTTCGTTGAAGACCACATCTCGACTAATCACAAACTTCTTATTGTTTGGATTGTACAACTTGTAGCCCTTCGAATTAGCATCATAGCCAATGAAGATAAAACTCTCGTTTTTATCATCAAGCTTCGTTATTCTCTCGTCTGGTACGTGAACATGGGTTATACTTCCAAAGGTTCTCAAATGGGAAATGCCAGGCTTTCTTCCACTCCATGCTTCTTGCGGTGTCTTTCCCCATACACTTCTTGTTGGAGATCGGTTTGTCAAGTAGACTGCACACGCTACTGCCTCCGCCCAAAATTCCTTAGGTAGTTTCTTGCTTTTGAGCATGCTTCGTGCCATGTCGAGGATTGTTATATTCTTTCTTTCTGCCACACCATTTTGCTGGGGGGATCTAGGAACTATCATTGGTCGACGAATTCCATTTGCTTCACAGAACTCTTGAAACTCCCTGGAAGTAAATTCTCCACCTCGATCAGATCTCATGGCTTTGATCTTTCTACCGCTTTCTCTCTCCACTGCTACTTTGAACTTCTTGAAGACTTCAAAAACTTCTGACTTCTGTTTCAAGAAATATACCCAGGTTTTTCTTGAAAAATCATCAATGAAGAGAAGAAAATAGTTACTGTTACCGAGAGAGCTCGGCTTGATCGATCCACACACATCGGTATGAATAAGCTCGAGTGGCTTCTTGGCTCTTGTCTCTGACTCCTTTGGAAAGCTTTTCCTGAATTGTTTCCCAGCTAGACACCCTTCACAAAGCTGGTCAGGATGGTTGATGCGAGGTAGTCCCTTCACCATCTCCTTCTTAGATAGCAGCTCTAGACCTCCAAAATTGAGATGCTCAAATCGAATATGCCAAAGCCATGATGCATCTTTATAGCAAGCTTTCAGGCACTTTGCAACATCATTTTGTATGTTGATCAAGAACATTCTATTCTTTGACATCGGCACTTTAGCAATGAAGTTATTCTTATCATCTTTTATAGAAAGATTATAATTATTCATGCAAATATCATAACCTTTCTCTACCAGTTGCCCTAAACTTAAGATGTTACTTTTCATAATGGGCACATAGTAGACATTTGAAATAAATTGATGCCTCCCATCTTTCAAACGGATAAGAATGTTACCTCTCCCTTTCACTGCTATTGTGGAATCATCTCCAAATGAAACATTTCCGCTTACTAACTCGTCTAGCTCCATGAACATGTCTTTCCTTCCACACATGTGATTGCTTGCACAACTGTCAAGATACCAGGAATTTGCTTGGCCACCATCAGTTTCCTTTCGTGCTAGAAGAAGAGTTTCTTTGCCATCTGTCCTTTCCTCCACGTAATTGGCCTTCTCCTCAATTTTTTTGTTGGGAGCTCTACATTCTGAAGCATAATGCCCAAACTTCTGACAATTATAACTTCGAACTTGAGATTTGTCATGCCTTGAGTTTGGATTGATTCTTCCACGGCCTCGTGTTGAGCTTTCTCCTTTCTCATAGTTGTTGTTGGAATTGTTGTTGTTGTAATTCCAGCCTCGTCCACGACCTCGACTTCCACCTCGTCCATGACCTCTACCTTGGCCACGTTGGTTTCTATCATTGCATTGGCTCTCATGCATATCCTTGAGTTGCAGCTTGAGGAGTTGGTCAGTAAACTCATGCTTCTTCTTATGCTTCTCTTCGTATGCTTGCAATGATCCTTGGAGCTGCTCGATCCTCATTTCTTCCAAGTCTTTAGTTTCTTCAATCGTCACGACGATGTGCTCAAATTTGGGATCCAACGAACGAA